TACATATTGCAAAACTGTATGAAAAGATGCAGTGAGTGAAGTATTGTAATTTACCATCAGCTTCACCTGTCAGACCTGTGAATGTACTTTATCACCCTGCGCTGTTCTTGAGAAATTAAATAAAAAGTGGTACTTTTACCTTATTTTAATACATTAAAATAATTCAATGATTTTATTTGTAAACTTTATTTTTTGACTTTTTTTTGTGATGTTTCAGGTATAAACATTATGTCAGAAGGAAAATCTGTCTTAATTTCAATCCAACTGGATCAGGAGTCATTTGATTAATTCTTTGAGAGGATTGCACTCATCACTGAAAAAAATATGTTGTAGCAGGTGCCAGGTATTTTATAAAATTACAATGGAAGAAAAAAAAAAAAACAATAAGTAAAAAACAAAAACAAATCTAGCAGTCATGTAATAATACCATGGTATTAACAATAATAATAATGATGATCATATCAAAGAGATACATGATTTGGTGGAAAGTCAGATTTATTTTTTGCAAGATACATTATATATGTTCATAATTGTATCAATAGATTGTGTGTGGTAACAGAAAATGTGCTAAATCAGGAATATGCAAATGAGTTTGTTTTATCTCAAACCACATTGCACTACAGTGCGCCCAAAGGTTGGAGAGGTTAATGATGAAGGAAGTATAGGTTGTCACAGCAGCAGAGGGAATCATGCAGCAACTCTAATAAGAGGACAGGCAGTAATGACGGGAGTATAAATACAAACCCTCATCGTACTGAGGTTAGTGCTCATCAGAAGTGGGTGAGTCACTGACCGGGGTCCTGTGTCTCTCCCCTGACAGTGTTTGTAAACCGCTTGTTTCCACGGATCAGTTTGATCAGAGGGCTCTGGTTCTGAAACGGTAATTATTACAACCCCTGATGAATAAAGATCACGTTTCTCCTAATAGTCAGCCCTCCTATTTTCACAACCTCCCACTGCTCACTTCAGCCACTCTCCACCACGACCTCCACTAATTGAGCTGATTATTACAAGATGTGCATGTTGCTGTGTTTGTTAAAGCAGGCCTGCAGGACTGAGTCGTGACGTTTAATCTGCAACACAAGCACAACTTTGGGTTTATAGTGGTTTTGGACAGAGGGAGAGGATTTATTAAAGCCAGAATCTGTGTGTCGATACTCGTTAAACAGATATGAGTCAGGGACTATTCAATAACTGCTTGTTTACATCTATCTTGTTACCCTTGGTGACCCTATAGCACGAGGAAGAGATTTCACTAAACCACACAGTCAGGCAGGCAACAGGGACAGGGTGCAGGCGTAGGAGTGTGTATCGGGTGGGGGTTTATTTCACGAAGGATCTGACCAGCAAGCGGTTCATCAGATTGAGCGGTTTAGATTTCAAGTCTGCTGTTAAATATATAGCCTTGTCATTTAAAGGTAGTTAAAGGGTGAAAAATGCATCACCTCCATCTGATAGGCATCACTGTGAATCAAAACAGGAGCATAAATCAGCAGCAGATCTGGAATATTTTCAAGTCAGCGTCACACAGAGGCACATTTTAAAAGTGTTGTTTAGATAAAACAGAATATCCAAAGCATATTTAGCTTGAAAGGTAAGTGTGCAACTTTGAGTTGGGCTCTGCTGCTGATTTCCAGTTCACTAAAATGCACATTTAAGTTTTTTCGTACACGCTATTCCTTAAATCTCCAATAATTATGGTAAATTATTTGTCGTTTATTGTTTTATTATACACTAAATATAACCACAGTATTAATATAATTATTAGACATGTTTAAAGAGACATAGTGTGTACTTTTTACTAAAACTTTGACAGACATTCACACTTGCTTTTGGATCCATGAGTCAACAAAATGGTGCAAAACTGTTTTGATTCTCATCCATTGTGACAAACGAAAGCATTTGCTATTTTATCCTAAAACTTTTCTTGTAAATTACTAAATTACATAAAGTAAGTGAAGCTACTGCAACATTTATCTTTTTTATTAGATGTCTTGAATAAAAGAGTGTAAACAAAGGGTAAAATATACGAAAGTACTTTGCAGAACCTAAAGAGGGTAAAGAGTGATTTATAAGTGTTGCCAGTTTACCATAAATTTCAGATTTATGTTGATATTGGAAGGTGAAGAACGCAGATCGTGCATAGACTCACTTTAATTTTTTCTCATTGATTTTATTCAGCTACATAAATTCCAAGCATAAACAGCAAACATATGGAAAAATGAATTTACGACCTTGGCAAAGTAAATAGCTCTTTGCGTTATGAAATAATCACAATAAAATTTTTTTTTTTTTTTAAATCGTATACAAGTTTTCCTTTGGCACAGCGCAAATACAAAAATAATCTTTCACAGAGCAATAATATTGCAACAGTAAACAGTTTGAGGAAAATATAATATTTAGGAAACATTAGGATCCACATACACATACTTGTGGTCCCCCAAAACAAATGCATGCACAAGTAAATTACGACTTGCCTAAATTTAGAATGAGATTATCCCACAGCTAAATAGAAACAACGTAACAAATTAGAACAAACCAGACAAGCTATATTTTAAATTACTCCATGGTTAGTTAAAATCTCATTAAAAAAAAAAGGTGAAATTTCTTCTTGTGGTGTGGAAGGCCATTAAAATCTGTGAGAACCCTGACGAAGCTAATTACGTCTCGGGCAAAAAGCCATCACCAACCACGCTGCTGCGAAACAAACAAAAACAAACTCACAATCAAATTGCAGCTGGCCGGAGCGCTGGAGCAAACAGCAACAAGTGTCTGTTTTTCTACCAGGCCGGTCATTGGAGCTGATGAGGAGCTGTGTCTGTCCGTCTGTGAGTGTTTACTGAAAGAAGGGCTGGGGGGGGGGGGGGGGGGGGGGGGGGGGGGGGGGGGGGTGTCGAGTGGTGAGTGAGAGAAAGAGAGAGTGTGGCGCTCACTGCTGCTGGCCTTAATTTATTCGATCAATCACTCCATTTGATTCTTGTTTATTTTCAGGAGTCGCACGGTCATTTCAGCTGCACACTGAGTCCTTTATGAACTGCCAAGGCGTTTCCCCTCAACCACTAACTCTGTATAGCATGTTTTTGGCCATAATTTGGGTAGAAGAGTGGTTCCAGCACCTCTCAGGTATTTCACGGTTCCTAACCTTCAGAGTGAAATCCCCTCAGTTCTGTCTCTCGTCAAGCTGGCAGTGTGCAGACGTGCAGGTCTATGAGCTTCACACATTGCACTGATTTATATCAACGCTGTGGGCTTGTTGTAAACGACCGCACTTCCATGTGAAGTTATAATGTTGTTTTCTGTAATTTGGCAAACAGAGTCCAAACAAAAGTCCCGATAGGTTTGTATTTCAGTTGTTGGGATTCCCTTTCAAGGCCTATATATAACCTTTTTTAGTGATAATGTGGGATTTTGATGGCCTTGTTTACAGAATTAATAGTGATTTTTATGAATTATCATGAACAGATGGTGCCGTTTATAATGCTTTATATTGACAATGAACTGCAAACCTAGCTGGGAATTAACTTGCTTCCACTGGGTTTTTAGTTTCGGCATGCGAGTAAAGAAATCACCATGGGACCAATATGCAGGATCAGATAAACCATGGTCTGCTCTGGATCAAAGTGGTAAGAAGGCAGGCTCGTATAATTGGATCATGAAAACCAATTACTTCTGTGCATGTAACATTTAAGACGACAAACAAATGCACAGTTTGGTCCAAAGAAGGACACGTTTGTCTTAGCCTGAAGGAAAAAAGATAAAAGGATCATTCTAATTTAGTCAAATCTGGGAACCAAATTCACTTTAGGAGTTTTGTGTAAAAAAGATGTACAACTTTATATAAATGACTGTACAGTCAAAATGATGTTTGTTTGGACAGATTTCTACAAAATATTAAATATGCTTCAAGACTTGAGTTTTTTAATTAAGTAATCAGCAGCCTTCATTCTAACTTCAACTGATAGATTTTAGTCTTCCTTTACAACCCGGTTTGACTACACATGAAGTCTGTCCTAATGTTTTGTCCTCATGCAGCATTCTTCCCTGTTTTACAGTGCTGGAACTCTTCAGACAGGAAGGATTTTATTAAAAGTGACCACAGTAATTAGCACTGTGCTAATGCTTGAATTTGTATCCATCCCTGTATGTAGCGTTTTTACAACACTGTGTGGTTTCACTTGAAACACGAGGTTTGACCCCGTGTCACCGGCCATATGGGCAGTAAATACTTCTGTGATAGAGTCAGTGCTTTTGCTGATACTGTAAAAGAGAGAAAGACACATGATACATAACACCACCTTGTTTTATTGCCAAGAAAATGGCTGACAATTATGCTTTGATAAATCAGATTTTATGTCAAGCTGTGTCCTAATATATTTTGACCAAATGTACTTTTTGCTATAAAAGAATACAGTATCCACTTTGTGAGGTTTTAAACTAAACATTAGAGCCACTACTATAGCAACATTCTTACAGTGATAAAACATGTTTTTTCCCTTTCTTCCATCCGTTTAATTATATTTTATTAAATATTTATTATTAACAACATAAGTTACAAACTTCATGTTATAAGTTAGGTTTTAATCCAAACCCTCAATCCTAAAAAAATAAACAAACAAACAAAAATATAATATCTACTGTATTCATTTCACAAGATCCGAATGAAAAACAAAACATTTTATAACTGGTATACTTTATGTACGATGAAATCCCTATTAAAAAATAAAATAAACTCTTGTCTGACACAATACATAATTTTATTGAATGGACAATATGATAATAACTCATTCCACCAGTGTTTTTGTGTCGGAGGTTCTGGGTTTTTCCAAAACATCAAAACGCATTTGTTTGCTGCTGTCATTGCAAGAAGAGCAAGCTAATGTTGATAATGGTATAAATCAGATAATATGTCTAAGATAAAGCAACACTTGGGTCACTCATGATTTGTATCTGGAATAATTCACTTAGTTGTAGGAAAATTGAGCCCCAATACTTTGTCACGGTTCTGCCCCTCCTGCCATAGTTCCTGTTTTCATGTTCTGTGTTTTCCCTGATTCTGTCACGTCTCTGTGCTCCTGTCAACTGTCACCACGCTCATTCAGCTCATGCACCGCAATCAGCCTTCATGCCGTTCACCTGTTTACAGCCCTACCTAAACTCCATGCTCATATTCTGCCAGATTATTGAACTCTTTCAGGTCAGTAAATGTCCAGCGTTCTTGTCACAGTTTTGTTTGGTTGCATGGTCTTGATCTCACTCCTGACTCTTAGATTCCTCACCTTGCCTGCTTCTTGTCTATTCTGAATTTTCCTTTCTGCTTATGGTACCGACCTCTGCTTCCTTTACTTCGACCATGCCTCAGGGATCACATTTTGGATTTGGCTCTGGACTTCTGATCACCTGTGTATGACTCTCTTCTGTTGGAACACCTGCTTGGATTTCCCTTAAATCAATACATTGCTCAGCGCTGTCTCACAGCTGCTCCATCTTCACCACTGGTGATGTCATCCACTTCAACTCCTCCAAGAAGCCCCTCCCTCACCTGTCAGTTAAGATTTCCCTGTCTTTGGGACTTTAACCTCCACAAGTAGCTGCTTATTACAGTAATTAAACCTTTAAGTCCTGTTGTCTGTTGTCAAGTTCAAATCCTGAAAACAGGTTCCTGTCATACTTCTTCAATTTATTCCAGTCCCAGAGCACAAATATATAAATATGCTCCATCTTCATTACATCTGGAGACTGGAGTTTGTTTTTTTGAATAGTAAGTACAGTTCAACAGCTTTACCTGAATAAGTCTGTGACTTGTATTTGTAAGAATTGTTTATGAATCAGTGAGGAGTTTTTCTCTGTATTGTGTAAATTTTGCTAAAAGCTTTTTCCCATTTATCCTTATTAGTTCATGTTTGTTCATCAGACAATACAATTTTGACATAATATTTTTAGCATAAATCATCTTTTCAATTTCTAATGGCCTTTCACATAATATTTTTTGGAAAAGATCTAGTTTTTAAAAAAATGTTACCCAGCTTTTCATCTGTAGATATTTATATGTCAAGGGGAAGGAGTTTAAATTGTTCGCTCATGCTAGATAATTCTTTGCACACTCCATTAGATAAGACAAATGTCTGATGCTACATTTTACTTATTTTTGAAGGGAGAACACAAGTAAAAACAGATCTCATTAACAATACATGAAGATGAGTCCAAAACCACTTTTTAAATGCTATGTTCCCATTTAAATAGTTGTTTAAGTGGAAAAGTCAAATTCTATGAAAAAGTTTCTCATAATTGGGAACTGCTGATAAAAGCCTTGTATCAGACTGAACACCTGATTGGCTCCACTGTTAAAGTTGTTTTGGAGCCAGCCTAAAAGTGTGCAGTCCTTCGTCACATTTACATTTTTCATTTGTTCCTCTTTTAAACCTCTGGATTAAACTTTTTTGCACAATTAAAGCAGCAAGTTTCATGGCAATCAAAAACGACCACCTGCACACCAACTGAAGACAAAGAATGTGTTAAAAATAACAATAACGTGATTCAAACTTTTTTTTCTGAATTAAAGCGACAAACTGAAAAACAGGCTAATATTGGCAACCTTTTAACTGTGCTGCTAACAGTTACTAAAGTAAAAAAAAAAAAAAATAATTAAAAAAGCAAACAGACATTTTCTGGCAACTCATCATTTAAGTAATAAAACTGACTTTGAGAAATGACTCAGTCTGCAGTGACACCCCACATCATCAATGATCTCAGAAAAAGGCAGAAAAATATTACTTTTTAAAGTGGCCTTGTTTGTAGAATGCAACTTAAAAAAAAGTTGCATGCATTGTGTCACTAATGAATCATTTATATGCTTTATTTTTTTTCTCAGAAGCTGCAAAGAAACCCCCGTTATAAAGTGTTGCCTTTTCTCCTCTAAATGACTTCTTTAACATTAAAGCAAAACATCCATCAAATCTTTTGTTGCATTCGTCTCCCTCTTGGACACGATATGAGATACTATGAAGATGAAGGCAAGTGTTTACTTTGTAAATTGAAGTGTGGCCCAGAGTATCAGTCATTTGTTTTTATATGGAAGCATTGGATTTCATGATGGCTTTTTAACTCTGCCTGCCGGGTGGATTAAAGGCCTGCAAACCCATGAACACTTTGTCCAGGAAACTAACAATTATTCTGAATGTGAGCATATGGCAGCCATTGGAGGAAAAACAAAGGCTTTAGGTTCATATGATGGTTTCACTTCTCAGCGTTACATTTTGGTGTGCCGGAGCATCGCCTGGCTCCATTCCTTAACTTAGACAGAAGTTATAGTGTAATATAGGTATGTGCCATTTGTGGTAGGATTGTGAAGTTCAAACAGACTTGTGGGCTGCTGTGACTCTGTTAAAAAATTGTGGTAACTACTATAATGTCACAAACAGACGTTTCTAGAATCTGACCTTTAGGAGTGTTTAGGCTCCCAGTGCTGACGACGTCTCTTGGCTTGAACAATGTGGTGGCCATTGGCGTCAGAAGCATTTGTAATGTGGGGGACACACACTGGTGGGGGGTCTGGGGGTCCTCCTCAGAAAATTTTGAATAAAGTTGATGCCATTTCCTGGTGTATTTAAACGGGTTGTTAAACATCAGTGTTTACCTAAATAAGTAAACACTTGATTCAATAACAATGTTAGAGTTAATGGCACAACAAGAAGTAGTCTGACCAACAGTCCTCCTTGTGTGAATAGAGCAGCTCCACTTCTCTCATGTATCCTACCCCCCACAGCTCCTGCAGGTATAATTCAGGTCGCTGATTGGTCAGTTGCTGACAAGCCTATGGAT